CTCCTCCTCCTCCTCCTCCTCCTCCTCCTCCTCCTCCTCCTTCCAGATTTTGATAAACTTAAAGCAGAGGTTGATGCCAAGAAGAAAGACTGGAAAAGAAAACATGGTAAGGAATTCTGTCAGCTCAAAAATCATCGCCCTTCCCCAAAGGATATAAAGTAGGATGTACAGTATACCTTAGATGGAAAGCCTAAGGAACCAAGTATTAAAATGGGACACTCCAAAAAGTGAGATGGTGGGGGGAATGACAGCTTTTTTAAGAAGTGTGACAAGGATCTCAAAAATGAGACAAGAACATTTCAAAGACTTTTACATTTGTTGCCTCTGTTTGCACAACCTTCTTAACCAAATCAGTCACTAACCCAGCCAAATCTGTTTAGCAGTTGTTTGGCCAACACACAACCACACTAAACTGGGTCAAAAGTTACCAAAGAAAAATGCAAGCCCCCTATTTGAAATTTGTCTAAACCAGCTTTTCTAATTTGATCCCAGAAGGATAACCATGTTAACTGTTGGCAATAGAAAAAGAGTTATGTGGCAAATTTATTATAGGTTAAGATTTGAGGGTTGCAAACTCCATCTTCTAACTTGCCCAGTTCAATTCAATCAAAATGCTCAGGATTCATTTCTTAAGAGCATGATATTTAATTATGCCTGTAGAAAATCTACATATATGACTGCAAACATGGCAGAATGCCTAAAAAGGGGGAACAGGGTGGTTTTTTATTCAAATTGTTAGATATTTGTAACAATTAGGGAATCGTTAAATGACGTAGATGTGGGGATTTCCCCTCTTTTGCTTATGAGGAAATAAGGGAATTTTCCATTCATTCCTTGAACAAGCCACATCAGGAAGCAGGGCAGTTTCGCAATAGCAAGGAAGACTGGTTTTGACCAGCTCAGCCGCTGAAATGCCTAGGAGAACTCCTACATGTTTACTGGGTAGCAGGGTAATATACTGTATGAACATGGAGTTGGGAAAATCAGTCTCAAATGTAATTCAAGAAAATTTAGTCATTTCCACCTTAGTACCTTACGGCATCTTCATTACATCGCCCAGACATTGTTGGAGGGAGTCAAAGCCTGCCCACATTACTGTTATTTCGGCACAATAATGGTTGGATGACTCTAGAAGATGCTATAAATGGCTAATGCAGAAATGACTTTGGTCCAATCTCCACATTGTGGAGTGAGTGAATGGAATGCCTTTAAATCCATTCAGTGTCTTGGAGCTATTTTCACATGTGCGTTAAAGTCTACTTTTTCCATAAAAGAGAAAGTTCTGGCATGTACAGTTTCTCTCTTCTCTTCTTTTCTTTTTTATATTTTATTAGATTTTTTCAATACAATAAAAGTATAAAAAGTTAAAGAAAAGAAGAAGAAATAAGATAGAAAAGAAAAAGAAAAGAAATGAAAAAAGAAAGAAAACATAGAATTTGACCTCCGCCCTTCTTTCCATCGAGGATTGTAATTGCCATCTTAATTTTTCCCCTTTCCCCCTTTGTAATCCCCAAATCCATAAATCATCAATTCAGTGTTTTCTTCTTTCAACAAAAACTCCATATAAGGCTTCCAGTCTTTTAAAAAAGTCTTTATAGTTTTTTCCTTAATCAAACTGGTCAGTTTTGCCTCTTCTGCAAGCTCTGTCAGTTTTATAATCTAATCTTCTATTGTGGGGGAAGTAGTAATAGTGGATACTAAATTCAACGGGAGCTTATCTGTTTATTTAATCAGTGACGTCATCAGGTTGCTCCAGAAGTGACGCCATCAGGTTGTGCTGGTTATGACATGCGTAACCCTAACCCTTCCCC